GGCTAGACATTGGCTAGATCTTGAGTGGTGACTTTGGATGACCAGGTATAAGGCATGAAAGGATTAGCAAGCTGCAGGCTTTTCAAATAGTCCTAGAAGTCTCCTGATGGATAGGGGATGGGGAAGGGACGAGCTCAGGCCTGTGCGGAGGGGGTGAGCCATGGCCTGGAGTGACTGTGTTTCTAGGAAATCCCAAGACAGATGAGCAGGCTGTCATGGAATTGGTTCCAAGATTTTGACCAAATGTTGGAAACCCTGATGGTCTCTGTGGGACATATACTGTATCTGGTTTTACTAAAGCAGAGTATACTTGCAGTATGACTTAACTGTGCTAGAGTTGAGAATAGCATTCTGTCCTCAATTGGAAGCCACAAATCCCTTATTACACAGTGGGGAGCAGAGCTGCATTTCATTGGCACGCAGGGGTCTGAATTAGTGAGTTCTCAGCTTAGCCTGCTGCACGCTGCCTCCAGGTATGATGTCAAGTAGTACATAGCTATTCAGCTGATAACTTAGTCAATAATTGGGCTTCAGTTAGTTATTTGAAAAGTGGAGTGATGTGCATTGCTCTTCAGACTTTATAGTAGAGTGGTGGGGTAGGCTTAGCCAATGCCTCACTCTGGCACTCAAGTTCTTCTTGGGGTAAGATATCAAAGGGCCATGGGGAATTCAGTTCATGGCAAAGCTTGAGTATAGGGAAGAAGAATTAGTGAATTGAGGGCTATTATGAGAATAACTGTATGACAAAATAACTAAAGATATAAGAAAACAAAATGTAGTTTGCCTTGCAGATGGTCATATTCCTTCTGTGTTCTGGCTCTTTAGTATGATGCTTTGCACAAAGTTAGCAAATATCTAAACATGTTTGTTGATGAGTCTTTTGTTGCTCAGGTTACCAGGAGAAAGTAACAGCAAGTGTAAACTTTTATCAGGGCTAGTGCTGGAAAGAATAGAATTATGTGGTGTTGTTATAAGCTGGCAGACTTAAAAGATACCCAAATGGCACCTGGAATTAATTTCTCTACTCACCATGGCAACATGCCCTGCATGCCCCAGCATACCCTGCTATTGCTGCTAAGGCTCAGCATTCTACTGGAGGAAAAGTCATAGATTAGTTGGTGGGTAATGGAATCCTTTCCTTTCCTTCTTCCCTCCTTTCCTTCCTTCCTTCCTTCCTTCCTTCCTTCCTTCCTTCCTTCCTTCCTTCTTCCTTCCTTCCTTCCTTCTTTCCTTCCTTCCTTCCTTCTGTCCTCTACTCACAGATGCTTAGCTCATGCTGCTTTGTGTTAAGCACTGGAACACAAGGATAACCAAGTTCTCTCTCTTTGCAAGCACTCTGCAGTGCAGTTGGCTATAAGCTTGGCCATGCTGGGGAGAGCTTCCCAGGTGACATGGGCTTTGGCCAATGAAAAAGAGTTTGGGGAGAAGAATATTCATTAGAAAGAATGATACATGTGAAGTAATATGTGAAGGTGATGAGGCAGAAAAGATAATGATGGGCCTAGATTTTGAGGGGCTTCCATTTGAAGTCAAGATGCTCAGTTGTCCTCTAGGCAATGGGGAGCTACCAAAGCAAGGACAGGAAATGATCATGCTTGCACTTCAGCGACATCCTTGTAGTGGCCGTGTGGAGTTTCTCAGAATGAGGAACTGACTCCGGTATATTGAAACAGCTGGAGCCTTGCCACTCAAAGCATCCATCGTGGAGCATCAACATCACCTGGGAGCATGTTAGAAATGCAGGCTCTGGGGCATCACTCAGAAGGACTGAATCATTTTAATGAGATTCCCCAGTGACTTGTATGCACAGTAAATCTGAGAAACACCGATTCAGGAGTTATGCTGGTAGCTCTTAGGGCGTTCATGCAGGTCCCCTGGGAGGGACAACCTGATCTGTTCTCTTATTCCACAGATTCGCAGACAGTTTCATGATCTTTTCAACTCCATTTTTGAAAGGCTGATAGAAATTCAAAAAATTTTAAGTATACTTCAATGATTTGAAAAATTCTATCACTTTAAGCCATGGCTTTTCAAAACATTTTAATCATGGACTCTTTTTTTTTTTTTCTTTTTAAAGATTTATTTTTTAAAGTTATCTCCATACCCACTGAGGGCCTTGAAATCACAATCCTGAGAACAAGAGTCATATGCTCTGCTGACTGAGCTAGTCGGGCACTGCATGGGCTCTTAATGTGTGAATGGCTTCAGGAGGGCACATAGGAGAATATCTTATCTATGCTATTTTATTTCTTAAGCTTGGTGATGGGATACTGATGATCATGTATTATAATCTGCCATTTTGGGTAAGTTGTAATATTCCATCATTCTAACTCATAAGATCTTGATTAAACAGTAATGTTTAGTGATCTACAAAAGAAGCCCAAGTGGCACCTCAAGACTCACGTCAGGGGTGGGAGTAAAATCTAAATGATGGTGATAGTATGCACGTAAATAGTATAGTTCCATTTGTTGAGTGAGCAATAAATCCTGTTTGTGGGGGAGCTTGCTATGTGCTAGACACTTTACGTGCTTTATATATAACTCATTTAATTGCTCAAGACTCTAGGAGGTAGGGCCTCTTACTTATCTCTGTTTCATAGGGCTATTTTCATAGCTGAAAAAACCCAGGTGTGAAGGTGTCAGACACTTGGCGCAAGGGCACAGAGATAGTCGGGGAATTAGGGTTTGCATTCGGATTAAGGAAATCTCAGGTCTCAGTTCTTAAACACTAAAGTGTAGTAAGCAGCCTCTCTGCATACACGGACGTTGACAGAAGACTGAGGATGAAGGCTCAGAATGAAATCAATGTGTTCTTCATCCTGGGCCTGGTCAGAGAAAAGCAAATCCAACATAGTTTTGGCCTCATAGCGACAACTTTAAATATTCATTAGCTGTCCTGGGCCCCTCCGAACTTGGGAAAATGCAGTCTGGAGGCTATTGAGAAGAATGTCCCCATTTGAATTTACAATGTAGAGAAAATCCACTAATTAAAAAAGAACCCCAAACTCTATAAGAACTCCCCTTGAAAAAACTACACCCCACTAGCCCTCCCCTGCTTTTCTGTGACTGAACTTGTAACCATCCTTCAAGACTCAGATAAATGTCATTCTGCTGTGAATCCTCTCCCCGCTTTTTCAAGATGGGAAGTTCCCTCCTTTTGCTCTCATCCCCTTTCCTGGGTGGTAATAGCTGCCACTTAGTGAGCAATCCAGTGTATTGGACATGTAAGCACTTCACTTATTTTCTTTTAAGAGCCCTATGGATAGTTATCACTACCTTCTTGCACAGAGGAAGAAACTGCTGCATCTCGAGATTAAGTCATCTGACATCATGCAGTTAATAAGTAGCAGAGCCAGATCTCAAATCCCCCAAGTCCGACCCCAGAGCCAGATCCTCATCGCCACAGAACCATCTGCCTCCCTTGTCACACTGATTTAATTGTCTTTTTTCCCCTCTCCCGAACTCCTTCTAAAAGTTATCAAGGATATCCTGCGTCTTTGTGCTTTTGCAGTGCTAGGACCACATCAGTGACTGAACATGGGTACTTCCGGTCTGAGCACAGGGTGGAGGGCAAGGTCTGCTAGAAAGTGAGAACAGCGTAAGTAAAGGCCTGGAAGGGAAAGAGAGCACAGGCCTTAGCAGAACTGCTGTGCTGCTGGAGCGTGGAGTTCACTGCTTGGGAGGAGAGGTGAGTCTTGAGGCCGGGGAGCCGACTGGTGTCCCGACCATACAGCTTCTTTGAAGTCTGTGAGTTTGGCTTGCGATTTTATTGTGAGGGTAACGGGAGCCACCAAATGGTCTTGAAAGGAAATTTGGAAAGTGTTGACTTAAACTACATTCGTTTGCATATTGGCACTTAATCTGTGACTTTAAAGAAATTAATCGGCTGTTAACTTCATGTTCAAAGTCTCATTCAAGAAGTTTTCAAAGAATAACAATGAAAGACATTGGGGAGAAAAAAAGCCAATAAAATGTAACACTTTATTTTTATTATTATTATTTTTTTATCTTAGAAGGAATTCACCAAAGGCTTCATATTATGCTATGGCATCTTTAATTATAAAAATAAGCAAATAAAATAACTTGCATCTGTCATTACCATGATATGTTTCATAACCTTTATATGCACATGGAGCTTAAAAATGTAATTTAACAATAAATAATGACATATACCAGATATGCTCACTGTTTATTCCAGTACTCAGCCAAAAACCTAAATATCATTTAAATTATAAATACATAATGCAAATATAATGGCACAAAAATGTCTAAAGTGCAACCAAATCACAATAGAAGAATCATGCAAACTGGTCTAGGTCAGCCCCCGAATCACTCTGTGCAGCAAACACAAGACGAAGCTTTGGAAGTTTAAAGGGGGGTTTGGAGGGAGTGGGATGGGATGAGGAAAAGAGAAGCAAAAAACTAGCAACACTGTGAGAACTGCTGCTTTCCATATGTGTAGATATATGTATTATAGATACATATAGAAGTATCATTGTGGGGAGAAAAGGGGGGTACCACGGTTTGAAGAGGTCACAGCAAAAAGAGAGAATCTACTGGGACTGAAGTAAGAGAGAATTTCGCTAGGAATACTCGTGAACTACTTGTCGCATTGGGGTCCTGGCTTCGTGGGTTTGCGAAACGGACACGACACACAAACTTGAATAGCTTTTCTGGTTGGGAGAAGTCAGCCTGGCCTGGGGGTGGGGGGCCGGGGCAGGAAGGGCGGGGAGTGGAGAGTCAACTTAGCGTATGGTCTACCTGATTTCCAAGAGGCTAAGGCAGTGTCCATATGTTTGGGGACCTGGGGATGGGACAGTTCTGAGTATAAAAATGCTCTTAACAATCTGATGTCAGCACGCTTCGAGGCGGTGTGGGGACAAAGGCGGCGGCGCGTGTACCGCTCCTGCTGGGTCTGCTGCGATTGCTCTTGGTCCTTGAGCAGCACGTTACTGCTTTTAAAGGCTTTATGGTAAAGTTGTATTGCTTTTCATTTTCTTCTGGAGATGTGCCCTCCCTCCTCCCACCTGGATCCCTATCACTCGGTTTGGTCAAATCTTGAGTTTAACCTAGTGAGAGTCAAGCACCAATAGTTTCTACCTAAGCAAGTTTGGAGTGGCCCCTATAGCCCTACCCCTCCTCCTTCCTCCTCCCTCGACATTGACCTTTGGTGGGCAGTGACGCTCTTAAGGGACTGTTGGGTTCAAGGACGGTGACCCTGAGAAACTACTGTTGTTCATAGATAGGTTAATCATTTGGCTTTGGTGGTTGCCATCTTGTAAACATCACGGCAGAAATAATCAAACCACCAGCTCTGTTTCCCTCTTTCTTTCTTTTTTCTTTTTTTCTTTTTTTTCCTTTTCCTTTTTTTTTTTTTTTGTTTTTTGGTCTTTTTTTCGTTTTTTTTTTTTTTTTTTGGTTTTTGGTTTTTGGTTTTTTTTTGGTTGTTTTTTTTTTTTTTTTTTTGCGATCCTACAGAGATAGCCCAACTGCCAGGACTACTTTGGCAGGCAGTGTGCTACAGGACAAAAATGTAAGAGGAGTCTATTAAGGCTGGACAGCCCAGGGTTCTTTATACCCCCTCAGCCCCAAGTCCCCGGAACTGAAGACCCAAAGGCTGACTGACTCGTTCCTGACTGACTTAAGGGAAAGTCTCCCACGCCATCATCGGTTCACCGATGAAAGGTGGTGGGCGAGTCAGGAACTGCCACTTCCCAAGATAGACTAGGCCTTATCACACTCACTGTAAGTGGTCCAAGCCCAAAGGGATGCTCTTTTGGGTTCCTGTGATTCCCGGATGGATGTGACAGAGCCGTTTCAGGAGAGATCAAAGTCAAGAGTAGCCTCTGAGTTGAGGTGGGCTGGGAGATTAACATTTTACCCGGGGTCCTTCAGACAAACCTGTTGGTTTTTCCTATCTCATACAGGCCCATCTTAAGTTTTGATGTTGAATAAAACTACTTCTACCCCCTTAGTTATAAAAAAGGCCACAAGGAGCATTTATGTGGATATCTGGAAGTGAGATAGTTAATTCCATTCCCAGGAAAAGAAAAATAAAGCTAAGTTACAAAACTAAATCTATATGCAATAAAGTTATTATATACTGCTTTGTTTAAGCAGAGTCCTCTGGAATTTATGTACAGTACATTAGTTTTCAGCTATTTATATTCCACAGTTAGACCTTAAGATTCTCTGGTTTTAAGACAATTGTTAAAGATACTTTTAAAGCTCTGAGCAGTTACAGTACATAAAGATGTTAGCTTTTTGTTTTTCATTAGATGCAAGAAGATGCAGGCTCAAAACCCGCTTGAAGAGCCAGGGTTGAGCAATTTGGTAAATGTGTTGGAAAGGAAATTACACGCTGGAGGATCAAGACCGTAAGACACTAGCTCATGAGAGATCAAGAATTCAAACACGACATTCATATTCGTCCATGGCCAGCACAGATTCATCACACGAATTCCATTTAACACCTTTATGGGCATTTAAGACATGCATTTAAATTAAGTCGCTTCTCATCAGCTAACTCTACTGGGGCAACCATCTTAAAGGGCCCCACAGCTTCCAATGACAATGACTGGGCCTTATGCAAATGCTTTGTGTTTGAGAGGAGTCTGAGGGGACCTGGGGAAGGAACGTGATAAAAGAGGGTACTTTCTCCTGCTGAGAGGCAGAAAGATCACACATATTCTGTCTGTGGGAATGCTGCCATCGCAGAATGTTGGGATATTGATTACAGAAGCCTCGTTTCATGCAATTTTCTGGAAGGGGAAGAGAAAATAGGAACTACTTAAAAAAAAAAAAAATCAAACCAGGCACAGTACACTCAAAGTCGATGTGTGAACACCTTTAAAATGATGCTAGTCTGGCGAGGCTGTGAATACCTCTCCCTGCTTATGCACTCTCATGGGAAGTGCGTTTGATGTGGGAGGGAGAGGCCGCCTCACCTCGGAGGTTCCTGAGGAGGACTTTCAGCTTCTGTGGCTCGCTGGTGCGCCTCCTGTTGAAGTCAGCTCGCGGGTGTGTTTGGGCACAGTGATCCGTCTGCAGGATGTGAAAGAGGCTGGCCATGTTGGGCCCAATTTTCTCCATCAGGCTGTCTCTGATGGTGCTCACTGTGTCTTCGTCACATTCCAGGAGGCTTCGGACAAGCCTGTTATAGTATCTGCATTGAGGAAAGAGAGCACATGCAACAGTCAATCAGGGAGGGCAAGGCAAGACCCGGCCTTTCATCCGGGCTGCAGCCGACACCCATCCCCAGTTGCCCTAACCATGCAAATCCAGATGGTTCATCAGCTGAAGGTGGCTTTCGGCTCTAACTTTTATGCAACGTTTCCTAGTTTGCCACGGGACGTGAGACAGCTGTCGAGTTTAATGCTCAGGAGACTTAGGTGACACTTTGTGAAGAACTGGCTGCCAACAATGTCTAACAGTTTTAGAGACACACAATCGTATAGCTGGAGGGGATCACAGAGGTCATACAGTAGTTATATATCATCATCTCATTTTATAAAGAAGAAACGAAGGTGGGAGAGCTGCAGTGACTTGTCTAAGGTCATGTGAAGGGTTAGTGGTAGAAGCAGGACTTAGTCAAATATGTAATGAGGTGAGCCCAGCCCTGGTGAGACTGTTAGATGAACAGTCACGCACATGCATTTGCCGGTATTTTGATGCATCTTTGCGATCCGCCTTTTGCTCGGTGGTGTGTGTGCAGGCGGACTGGCACACGAAGGTTTTGGACTAAACTTGTATTTTTAAAGGAGGCCACTGCCTTCAGTGTCTTGTGCATTTTTCTATTTGATTTAACTTCCCTACCGTATACTCAGCTAGCCTTGCTAATGGCCATTGACTGATCCCATTCTCAGTCTTCCTTCCAAGGGACATTGTAGTCAGAAGGCCAGATGCCAGGCAATGAGGACCCTGAAGTGGAGGGACTGCGGGTCCCTGATGGTTGCTGCTTCAGTAATTCCAAAGTCTTCCCCTACTGCTCTAGCTTTTGCTGGCCTCTTCCTTTTCTGAGCATTTTACAGACACTTGGTTAGCATCACACAGGTCAGCATGCCCTGCTCAACTGTTAACTTACTGAAGGCAGGATCTGTGTCCTTGTTCTTTGTAACCCTCATGTGCTGGCGTCCTAGGGCTCTGTTGCCTGCTTACTGTCCATTTGGTGATTTATTTTGTGGTCATGGAGGAAATGGGGAGTTTGAGAAATAATAATTCTCTCCAATAAGTCAGGATTTCAGAAAGAGAAATTAGAGGTAGGTGTGGTTGGGTCTTACCCAAAAAACCTCGTGTTTGGTACCAATCACCTTTGTCTGAGGTGCAAGTTCTTTAGGCAAACGGAACGCTGTGGCTAGTGTTACGGCTCAGACACAGACTGATACTGACAGCCTATGAATTCCTTGTCTTGCTCATCGGGGAGACAGTTCAGGTAATTTTCCAATTTGAGTTGGGATGTGTTTGCTCCGTTTTGAGGTGGCACTTGTCAAAACCCATTAGCTCTGTGTTCACTAATAAGAGACTCTCCTGATGACAGTGACCTATAGTATTGATGTGGAGAGACTCTTTCCCCAGAGGAGCCTGCAGGTCGCTGGGGCCACAAGATCTTCCATGAAAAGAAACCTGTTTATTTTTAACTCACCTCACAGAGCACAGGATCAAACATCCTTCCAGAATAACTTAACCCCCCAGAGAGGTCCTTTCAAGGATGTACGGTAAACAGAGTGGAACACGGGTAATGAAGCAGAGCGGTCACCCTCCTGCGAGTGAGCAGAATGAAGCTGGGGGCCCCAAGCAAAGTGCCGTTGTCTGGGTCTCGGACACAGTCCTGGCTCTACCCCTCCCCCGAGGGAGGATTATATCCAGCTGTTGTTAAAATTGGGATTCTCTGGCACAGAATCACATTTTCCAACCCTTTGGAATTATAAAGCACATGAGTCAAAGCAGATCTCCTTGGATGGGGAAATGGGGAGAAAAATGGTTTTGGAAAAACTGAGAATAAACTACTTTGTACCAACAGCTTCAGATATCTACACACCCACATAGATCCCCAGGCACCTCTTTACTCTTGGGGTCTGCGAGGACATGGGTCCCCTTGATCTCTGCATCTGTTTTACAGGGTGATTAGATCTTACAGAATAAGGTTTCTGATCTCTCACCCTCCTGACCCCCAACCAGGACTTTATAACTTAGAAGTTAACCCTTCCATTTCTAGAAAGAACTGTCCACAACAGATTGCCCTCCCCTGCCCCCAGATGAACTGCAGAAGACGGTCTCTCCTTAGCTCAACACTGAAAGCTCTTGCCTGGGTGATGAAATCTTAACACCGGTAAGGAAACTAAGCCTCACCTCTTTAAGGCCACATGTGTCCCTTGGGCCCCACTCTCCCTGTCTGAGGGCTTCTATCTTTTCTGTTGCTTTCTCTGCTTGCCCAGATAGGACACCTGTTCTTGGTGTTTCTCCATGATGGCCTTGTCAGCCCAACCACCCTTAGTGACTGTCCCCAAATCTACCCTTAGCTTCTCTAGTGGAGCTTTGTGAACCCAACAAGGGCAGGTTAAGAGTGCTTGTTGGAATAGAAGATGTCCATGGCTCCATTAGCAGCTCCTCCAAGTCTGGGAAACCTGTCAACCTGTCCAGCCGCCTTAATGCCCACATCATTGGCCAGAGTGAGTGCCAGTTTAATCCCGCGCCTCTCCATTAAGGGCTGGAATACACAGGAAGGGCGCTGACCTCTGGGATTGTGTGGATTAATGAGACAGACCTTTCCTATCTAGAAGTCACCAAGTGAGATTTTTTAAGAGAGTGCGTCTCCAGCAAAAGTTGACTTGGCAATTGTCATGTATTTAATCTAGACACCATCTTGTACCAACTGTTCATGTCACTATAGCTGTTGGTAAGATATGCCTTCTCTTTGAGAAGAGAATGTACACAAATGCAATCGTTGATCACCACGGGGCACATTTACTCAATTCTCCTTGGTATTCTATTTTTTTTTTCTATTTTTATTCCGCTTGGATTGTGGATATTTCCTATAGGTTCTACTGGTTGCCATTTTTGAAGTAAGAATCAAATGGCTTGGTTCAAGGCCACATGCGTTCTAGGCCCAGCTCTGTCATTCACTAGCTGGGTGACCTGTAGCGGGTCACTTTCCTCTCTGGGCCTCTGTTCTTTAAATCAGCACAATGAGGTATTTAGTCTAGATAACCTCTGTGATCATCTCCAGCTATGACATTCTGTGTTTCTAGGGATTTGATATATATATTCCTTCTTAATTTAACAAAGATGGTGCAGGTCTGCTTGAGGACCATCTTCTGCAGGAAGACTTAGGACTAGTTAAGGAGATTCCTTTCTTCACCTTTATAGGGGATGGCGGGATGTGCTGCAGGGACTTGGTGGGCTAAGGGTTCTGATCACCCAGCCTGAAAGGACTTTTAAAGCATGTTTCTTTTTCCCACTTTGAAAATTCCCTCACAGACTTTTTTTTTTCTTGGTAAAAAATAAGATCAGATATTCTCCATAGCTACTGTTTCAGCCATGCTTACCCAAATACACACATACTGCCTAGGAACGTTCTGTGTGAGGGTTTATAAATAGTCCTTTGTTTCCCTTGATCAATATTATTCTTCTGTTTCCTGTTCCCTATCCATGCCCTAGAGAGCTGGAAGCTTCGTCAGTTTTCCCACTCTGGATCTGGATTGGTCTGATTTCTACCCAAGCCTCACACTGCTCAGCTTGCCTGATCAATTTTGCCTGCTCTCCCTCAGGGTTGAGAGAGCAGTTTGTAAATTCAGCCAGGGGGGACATCCAGCTCTCCTTTCTCTTCTGAGCATGTTTCTCTCACGGAAAACATCCCTATTCTGGCTCCTGGTCCAGTCACAGGCTTTTGGATTCTCCCAGGCCCAAATCTCATGCTAGATAAGTCACAGGAAGGTGGAATGAACCTGTAACTACTTCCCTTCACAATTCCGTGCCAACTGGCACAACTTCGTGTGTATCTGTGGTGGGGCAGAGGCTGGGAAAGCAGGATGTTTCAGGAGAGTGAGGAGCTTAAATAGAGCAAATCAAGCCCAGCAGGGAACCGGAAATCTCTACAGTTCTGAGCAGGAATAATATTAGCCAGTTGAAGTGAAATAATTGAAGAAAGAGATGCATGGAAGATTCTGGTCTTCAAAGGATGGCCACTTTTCCCCAATTTCCTAGTAAGTGTGATTTCCCTGTGATGGAAAAGGGAGATGACAAGACTCCTTGTGACCATTTGCTAAAGGTGGTAAAAAGGAGACCCCCACCCCCTTGAAAGGAATAGTGGCCTGGATTAAAAACTCCTATTACTAGTCTCTTCTTAGATATTTAGGATCACCAGTACAGAATCTATATCATACTTTCTATAAGACCTCTCCCTTCATAATGGAAGATATGATCTCAGTTGAAATAGAGAGGTTCATATTGCCTCCAAATTGGTTATTTGCTATAAGTCACAAATTGTCACAGGATCCTTAAAGATCTAGACTTATAATAATGGTGCTGCCACCATACCCCTGCCCCCCAGTTACTACCACACAAATATATACTTTGTCCTTAACCCCTGTCTGCTAAGAATCCTTTTTTTTTTCCTTATGGTGAAGGGAGTCTCCAACAATTAGCCAGGGTTGGTTTTTTTGTTTTGTTTTGTTTTGTTTTTTCCTCTTCAGGTGTAACCAGATTCTTCTTAGGAGAATTTTAAGAACAAGGTCAATATAAAGAGATAGGCCATTTGAGATAAATGCTGGATTTGATTTTCTTATTCTGAGGAAATCAGTTAGGACCCGTTGTCACTTCTAAGTACTGAACCAACAAATTTATAAATTGACATGAGGTTCTGAAGAGCACTTAATGTGTAGGTAAGTGTGGATCAGAAATTTCACAAAGTTTTAATGTCAGGGGCATTTCCCTAAGGAGGCATTTCCCTAAGGAAGAGCTACTTTTCCTGTCTTCCAGTTGCACATGTGTGCCTGACTCAATCACTGGTCAGCCCCGGGAGGAGTGGGCTGTTGCCACTGTTGGAAGAAGGGTGGCAGCACCTGGTAGGAAATTAACCAGGGAAGCCTGTGTTAGCTCTCAGGTGGTCGGGTAACATGCAATACGACTGATCTTTGTCAGTCAGTGCAGATTTGTCCGGAGAGTCAAAGGATCCTAGCGCGTCAGGACTGGGAATCAAGTTTTAGGCTGCGGGGCATCACAGTAGGCTGAACTTGTCCCGCCCCCACTGTACCTGTCATACCTCCACCCCAGCCCCATGGACACCTCTCTTAACTTCATCACAGATGGGGGGAAGCCCAGGTCTTGCTGGGAAACCTTGTAGACCGTGGAATGAGATGTCAGCCCTCTCCTGGCTGGCAAAGACCGTAGCCAGAGGCACAGAGAGGCTGGTGCTCAGGTATGACTAGTTCAGTGGCTTTGGGTCATGTGAGAATACTGAGATGAGAATGTGACTGAGCAGTCACCAGAACACCATTCCGGGAAATCTTGGATTAGAGAAAGGAATAACATAGGACTGGGAAGGAACATGGGAGTCATCTTGTCCAGCCATTTCACTTTTCACAAAGGAAATCCGAGTCCCAGTGAAGCGACATGGCTTACTCTGGGCCACCTACTGAAATACGTGCTTGGGCTTGGGACCGACTCAGAATACATGCAGATTTAAAAGTCTGCATCATGACATTTGACCAGGGTTTTAATAATGACCAATTGTACCGTGCATAGCCGTAATTTCAGCCAAATCTGAGGTCTCACAATCTTGTTTCCATAAACTTCCCAATTCCCTTCATGCTTATGGTGAGAAACTGACAACGAAAATGCACCCAAGGATGCTGCAGATGAAGCTTTCTATTAGCTGCATGGAAAAACTTTTTCTATCACAGTGAGAAAAAAAAATCCAGGCTGCTTAAGCTGTCACAACCAATCACAAACATATTTTTTTTTCCTGCAAAAGCAGGGAAGGCTGCAAGCTAAAATAAGATCATGACTGTGGCAATTAACCCCCTTCTGTGTCTGGCTCTGCCAAAGCCCCGCCTCCCCCCCACCCCCCACACCATTGCAGAAAAGCGGACTCATTCTGTACCTGTTGGAGAAGTGATTGGGGAGCTGGACGACCTCGGTGATGGCTTCGGGGTTCCGCTTGGCGACGCTGCACACGTTCAGCTTGCTGTAGCACTCCTCTTGCACCTCAGCAATCATCCTCTGGAAAGTGGAGCACCTCCGAATGGCAAGGAAGACCTTGGAGGTGACCCCATTGGCGATGCACTTTAAGCTCTCTTTGACAAATGCTTTTCCCTGTCAGGCAAGGGGTAAGGGGGAGAAGCTTTAGCTCGAGCTGACCAGAGAGAACAGGGCATAAGCATGTGGAACTTAAGGGGGCTTGCCTTGGCACTGTCTCACGGCCATCTGCATGTCCTCGCAGTGAGAAAATTGTACGCCGCGACCAGGATAAAAAAAATGTCCCCACTCTCTTTGCCTACCTTCGGAATTGAGCTCCACAGAAATAACGAGACGGGGGAAAAAAAGAGACGAACCATAATCCACCACCCCGCAGCTTAAAAATAGCTGTGAAATGGCTTTGTCTTCTTGGGATTGAGACTCCGATAACTCACAGGCTAGTATGCTAGGTCGTACAGGGAGGAGAACTTCTTTGTTCGAAGTACGTTTTATTTCCTCTTGAAGAGGTAGAGATTTTCTGCTCGTCACCCCTGCGTTATAAGGCCTCTCAGTATGGTACGTTCGTGCATTAGAATGGGTGGGGAGTGTCCTGTACAGAACCGACCTTCTGGGTTCTGTTCAAAATCGCGTGTGTGCGCATGTGTGCCCGTGCGTGCGTGTGCGTGCACACGCCGGAGCTGAGAGTTGACGCTGAGGACGCTGAGAAGCAGAGCGGCTTCCCCACGGGACTGGCTCCCAAGAACAATAGTCTAACAGGGTGTTAAAGACAAGCAGCCCGTGGGAGGCACGGGTCAAGGTCAAGGTCTTATTACCTGAGTGTCAAATTTAGCAGCGCTGTACAAGAAGGATTTACAGATGTCGTACATCCCATCTGTGTCACAGGTGGAGTTTTCCAGGCATGCAAAAGCCCCACAGCCGACCTGCAGCGCACTGTTGAGGCAGCGAACCACTTCAGCTGAAAGAGACGAATCCGTGCAGCCTGGGTCAAATGGTGACGGTGATTCAAAGGGGTCAAGGTGGCAAGAATCAAGGACAAGGGGTCAGAAGAGCCTATCTTAGATGTCTGCGATGGGGCCAGTAGAGGGACCCATTCAGAGGGGGTAGGAGTGGAAAGAGTGGGGCAGGCAGATCTCTTGGCTTCTAAGAGCAAGAGCACATGGAAGGAGAGGGAGGGCGTGAGTTTTCCCTCTTGGTCTCACCATTACATACAATGTTGGTGGCTGGAGAAGTAAGGCCAGAATCTGCGGAATGCAAGTGCTTGAAGCAGCTCTGTAGCATCAAAGGGCATCCCTTAGCGCCCGAAAGCATGGGAAGACAGGAGGCGATGGCTGGTGGGCAGGTTTCGGAAGTGGAAGGGCCAGGGAGTCCATTTGGCTTCCGAAAATGCACTCCAGAGTAATAAGAATGGAATTTTAGCCTAAATGGCAGAGAAGACTTTGCCCGGAGTTCATCTGGAGACCCTTCTGATTTAGGGCTTTTAAAACTTACCTTCCCATTGGCAGAAAGGGATCTGGTCCATTCATGTTTCATCCCAACCCCCACCATAGGACAGTGCTTAGAGGTATGCATAATCTCTCTCATATTAAAAGCCATTTCTTTTTTAAAAGAGAAACACAGGTGTGGAATAACAAGGCCAAGGCACCCCTTGTGCAAGACTGGAAGAAAAACCGCAAAGAACTTGCATGAGGCTTTTTACATTCTGGATAAGATCTCCCATAAAAGTAATTTCTCTCCTTCAGAAGGGGGGTGTTCTGGCAAGCAGCTCGGCAAGAAATGATCTGCAGTCTTCATACCATAGGATTCTCCTCTGAGATCAAAAGCGTGGTTCGGTTAGGCTTCCCCTCCCCCTCCCACCACCCGCAGCCTCTGGGATGTTACAAGTCATTTCCCTAATTATATATTTCCACGGGTTCAAATTATAACTTTGCTTTAAGCAGTTTTAATATGCATTAGGGTTGCTATTGTTTTAGGCAAGCTCGAATTGTGAATCACTGCATTTCTATAGCAACTAAGTACAAAAGGAAGTGAAGCAAAGCCCTCCTCTAGGCAGGGACCTGTGCTCTTCGCAGGCGAGGGTTGTCTGCAGCATTTGGACACCTGCGATCTCATCTCGACTGACAGTTGGGGGAGTGGGGGCAGCAATGTTAGAGGAGCAAGCCGGACAAGTGAAGTCAAAAGGCAGAGGTGTTAGTACCGGCTTCCTAGGGACTCTTGTCCTCTAGAGGCCAAGATAATACACAATTAACTGCCCCGGGAGTCAGAACCAGAGTGACACCTTCCCCTTGAAGAAACTGCTGCTACGTTTCACAAATACTCTTTTTTGAGGGTCCCTCTGGCCTGGGGCTGCACGGGCAGCCTAATGAAGCACGAGGAAGCCGGGAGGAGGAGAAGGAGCAGTGTCAGGGGTGGGATGTGTAGGGTTTTCTCTGCATCTGCCCGGGATTTGTCAGACTTGAGGGCTACGGTTTCGTCCATCTGTCTGCAGAGGGAGCTTTCTGTGTGCTCTCTGAAGGGGCAGGGAAGTCCAGTTATGGGGTCTTAAGGGTGAAGGAAGGGGAGCAGCATCTGACAAATCATGTCTCACCTTAAGATCAGCTTCAGCTTCTGGAAAGTATAGAGAGCGCTTTGAAGCATGCCAACATTCAAGCCTTTCCCCCGCCCCCTTCCCCCCCCCCCCCAAGAGGGTACGTGCCAGATTTCAGGCAATCAGGCTAGGCTTATGCAATGAAATACCCTCAGCAGAGCGCCCAGCTTCTTCGTTAGTTGCATGCAATTTATTAAACAAAGGAGCTCCACTTCCTAAGGCTATTGGATTACACTGGCAGTTTATTGCCATCAGGCATGAAGCACATTTATTATCAAGATCAGCCGTCACAGACACAGTTGCAAAAGCGAGAGGCAAATGAGGACAGCTCTTTGGGGGAGAAACCGGTCCTGGGTTTGCCGCTTACCTGAGTTCTGAGCTGCCACCCGGGATTTCCTGGGGCTCACAGAATCATTCTGCTCCGCCTCATGGGTTGCAGAAGCACTGATCACCAGCACCAGAAGCACTGCTGAGTTTTGGAGCATTCTCTGAGAAGTTTCCGCTAAGTTGTTGGGTTTTTTTTTTTTCCTCCCCCCCTTTCCTCTTTCCCTCTCCCGGCTTGAGTGAAGATGTGGATCTGGATACACTGAGAGCCTAGGTGAGGATTTGATGAGGGTTTTTTGTTGCCGCTGATGCTGCTCCTGCTGACGCTTTTGCTGCTCCTGCTGCAGTGGCTGTTTCTTGCACCTCTGGCTTTTGCAAACTGGGGGCCCAAGAGCTGCACCCAGGGATTTTATAGCCGTTCTTATCGGTCCTTAGGATCAGGGACCAATCAGGTCCCTCAACTGGTCCGGCTAGCCAATCGGAGGGCACGCTCATTGGGCTGGAGCTGTTTGACTTCTTAGAAATATTTTCCAGCAAATTAAAAGTACCTGCTGCCAATGTTTTACATGTGTGTGTGACAGTGTGTGCATGGACGTGTGAAAAGCTGTTTTCACGGAATTAAGGGATGACTGTGTATTGATTGAACTAAAGGAAAATCATATGAAAATCTCAACAAGGTGCTTTGGGAGATCCATTTTTTTTTTTTTTTTTTTTTTTTTAATGAGCTACTGGCAGCGGGGGGCGGGGGGGCAGCATCGGCAGGATGGGGAATGTGGTCTCTCTGGGTTCTAATTTAACCTCTTTATAGCAGTTTTGGTCTGATTTTTCCAGCATACTGTCTGTGTTGTAAGCTACATGCACAACACTGTCCCCATCTCGTTGATTCATACATTTGGGTCTGTGATGCACTCTGGTTGCATCTGGGCATCCGGAGTTCTCACTCACATATATGAGCCCCTGAGGAGGGACATATGTGAGTGGAAGGGCCCTGATGGACTGGGATAGGACGGCTCTGAGCTGTGGCCCCAATTCCTCTATTGACTTGCTCTATAACCATGGTCAAGTCCTTTTACCTTGTTCTGCCTCTGTTTCCAAATCTGAGAAATGCCCACGTTGGAATCTAGAATTACTTACATCTCTAAAACTATGGTTCTCCAGTAACACAAATTAACCTCGAGTCCATCTTTTTAGTCACCGGCAAGATTAACTCTAGGAGTGTTAGCTACCATAGGTACACACATGCACACCTCCAGGCTCAACAGAGAGACATTGGGAATGCCTGGAAATTAACAAACTGTGTTTTCAAGCCTGGGGACTTCATAATCACATTGAAACAATAAGCTGGCCAAAGCAAGACTAAACCTGCTAGGTAAACCAGTTCATTTCTTGGGGGCGGGGAGGGAGTATGGGGGCAGGCAGGACTGGGAAGAAGGAGTAGGAAAAGACCAGAATGTGTAGGAGAGAAGACTGATAAGCTGTAGACTTAATGGGGAAATTACAGTGGCATCAGAAATCATGCCTAGTGTAGAAGCTCGTATTTCCTTATAAGCTGGCAACACTGAGGTATGTCCCCAGCTTGTGAAGGAGGCTGATGATCCAGGAGAGGACTTATCAGGGTAAAATAAAAAAGTGGGCATTGCATTAAGGACTGGAGTGAAGTGAAGGGATTAAGCAAGAAAATCTTTACAAAATTTTAGGACATAAATAAGAAAGGGCCATTGGAGAATCACAGACACAGGAGCAAGATGATCTTGCAAAGAAACAGACAGTGGTTTTAGTTTAGATCCCCAAATCTTCAAAGGTTGAGGAAAGAATGCCAACTCTACTAACCACAAACCAAGACTCAGCTCTGTATGTGTGAGGGGAGTGGGCGTGCTGAGTGATTCTAGTCCCGCCCCACTTACACAAAAGGATTGTTTGGGAAGCATGAAGTTTGCTAGAAAAAGGATGGAGGAAATAAAGGATAAAGGAAATATCTAAAGGCAAGGAAGGGAATTTTCACATTTTCATTAAAGAATAAGTACATTTCAATTTAGATTAACTGACAGTATTGGCATTTCTCAAGTACCTTCTAGGCTGGGTGCTGGGGGCTGAGTGGGGGAGGGTAACAGAGAAGAGATACAGGAGAAGGAAAAGTAAGGACTCTTGTTGTTGAGTTTGCAGTCAAGTTGGAAAGGTGGTCAACCTCAGTCATGTTTCCTGAAGGGTCAGGATGTCAGGACCTTGGATGGTAAGAGAAGGTCCTGGTCCACACTGGGTAGAGATGTGGGGAAGGCTTCATGGCAGGGGCTTCAAGGAAGGGTCAGTGTGGGAAGGATGTGAACTGCGGTTATTGCTTTGAAAGAATTTGGGAAAAAGCTATGACTATTTCATTTTTTTAGAAAGTTCGTATCTGGGAAGCTCAGAGATTGTCCTTTTTGCTTTAGGCAGGAGAGGCAGACAGACGGCAATGCAATATAATATAGTTCAGTGTTCTCTTCTAGAAGGAGAACAAGAGGAGAGATGCGTGCATTTCCCTCCTGAGGATCTTGTTTTCTGTTCCTCAGCATTCTCTACCTCCTTAGCTGTTTCTCATTGTTCAAGGCAGCCCTGTTTGTTTCCCTTGTTGGCCTTTCCCCATGTTGGTCTACTGGCTTGGTAGGGTGTAGAGTGATGATTTCTCCCATCCACATTCTTTCCCCCATTACCTGGGGGAATCCACCAAAACACAGTGTCCTACAAGTGTCAGGATGTGTTTTGTCTTTTCTCTGATGTTGATTTATTATTGTTCCTTCTTATTTCACTCATTGACTGTCACGTACCTGGAGGTTCATTGCCGGGTGTTTGAAGTGTTTCACAGGGGAGATAAGCTGTCGACTGAAGAAACCCAACAGCGGCCAGCCACTTTGGTGTGAATGTAACTAGCATGAGCATCAGTGCACTTGGGAACATCACAGAAAGGAACTGAGGTCTAAGGAGAAATGCCCAATGTAACGTTTCTTCCCAAAGAAGAACAGTTGTAAAGTTTATGTTGGGCATTTGTACCTAAACGGCAGCTCAAGGCTCTCTGAATGTTCACGATCATTTTACTCCTATCTTGGCCTTTGATATAGCAATGATGGAGGAGTTTTGGGAACTCTGGAGGTGATGTCTGGTCTTTTGCAAGTCTCCTGGGTGGTATGAGAGAATATGGAGGAGTCTGAGCAGCAGATTTCTGAGTTCGAATTTTATCCTCCAAGCAACAGGAACAGGGAGTCATTGAGCATTCTTGACTAGGAATTATTAAAGGATGCACTGAAGTTAGTGTTTGGGGAAGATCTTTTGATCAGACTTATGATGGTTTGGAGGAAGAAAAGAATGGAGTTTAAAAAAAAAAAAAGAAAAGAATGGAGGTTATAAGACTAGTTAGTAATACTAGTTTGTGACGATAAGGTCCCGGACAACTATGGTAGCAGTGAGAAAGGAAGAGAAGAAAAAAATATGAGAGCTATTTTAAATACAAAGGAAATTATCAAGTATTCTAAGAACCTCCTTGGGAAAAAACAAAAAACAAAAACCAAAACCTTTCTCCTAGTTTAATGATAATGGAGACAATATACATCCGAGCTTTTCCCGCCCCATTTATTGGGAATGGCTTTTATGGTTGACAAGATTATCTAGCATGTCTGTTGGGCAGGCACGTTGTGGCTTCTGTTAACGTAGTAGACTGACCTGGCCAAAGGACTTGACTGTACTTCCGGTAGATGAGGAACCTTCCCCAGCCTGACTGTGTGAGTTGGAGGTGCCCCAGGTGCAGTGGGTGGGAAGGAAGGGGAGGCTTTGCTGTTGCCCCCAAGCAGGAAAAGTGCAAAGAAGTGGGTGGGAGAATCTGCCAACACCCAAGGCTGGGTGATGATACCCTGGCTGTGCTCAAGAAAACTCAAGAAAAAGAAGGAGAAGGAAAAGGAAGAAGAAGTGTGTGTGTGTGTGTGTGTGCGGTGGGGGGGATTATTTTCGTCCTATATAAAGATACCAGGTTTTCTGTGTGGTCAGTCTCAAAGTCTTGAGTGAATCTTTGCCTCTTTATTTGTCTTTGATTTCTTTGAACTCTGCCAAAGAAAGAAAGAAACTATATGAAAGGGTCAAACTCCTGCCACCCCCACTGGTTTATGGAGGGTTACTGAGTGCCTGGCACTAGGTCAGGTGTTGTGGGAAATGCAGAGAAATGTTTGACCTTTTTCTGTTCTTCATGAATTCCCAAGCTAGTTCTTAACGCATGAATGTTGTATTTGAGGAAGAATATCTGTTTTCTGGAAATGTAATACGTCAAGTGGGTTGGAATAGAGTTTATAGGTTTGCATTCAATTAACATTTACTGGGTGCCTATCTACTCTCTGCCAGGCATTTCTGCAGATGCCTCTTATCTGTGAGAAAAGACCCGCTCTCCTCTTTTCCCAGAGGAAGAGCCCAGGACCCAGAGAGAGAAGAATGGCTTGCCCATGATCATAGAGAGGACGATGGAGCTAGGTCTCCTGAGATTTGCTCATTGTAGAGGTAGCTCTGGGTTCTTCAGTTGTGTGAGCACCACCTTGGAGGAGGAGGTATGCAGGCTTAGAGTGCCCCTCAGGCTGGGTAGGGGAAGGAAAAAGAAATAGGCAGGATGACCGAACATGTTTAGACCAGAGCAGGCAAGTTGAAATTAGCCTCCACTTCTGTGAACGTTGGCTCCCCATTCTTTCAGGTATAAGTTATGATGTCGCTTTACATCTGGGAGGACAAGTTCGTAGTCCTAGGGGGCGACCTGCAAATCTGCAGTTTCACAAGAGGCACCTGAAACAAAGTGGAACAAGGATGGAGAGGGGATGTGTGTCCTTGAATCTGTCATTACCTGGAGCCCTTTGAAAGGCCTTAAGTGACATTACTCTGTTGAGACACATGAGGGCGCTCGAACCAACCAACAATGAGATGCCGCTTTTAAAATGATAAAAAAAAAGTTGTGAATCTTGGTTCTGTTAGATTGGCCATTGTTTCAGGCTATCGGGATGCTTTTTAAGGGGGATAACTATTTATGTGGACAATAAAAAAAGCTCACTCTTCTGTAATTTAGCTGGTGAGCTTGCAGACTAGCATGGTTGTACATATTTGGAAGTTTTACAATCTATACCGTTCTGGATACCATCCTCTTATTGCCTAGTAGGGAAGTAGGTTGCAGGGAAGTTTTTTAGAACTGTTCTGCCCCAGTGCTAAGGGGAGGATAATGCCCGTACTAACTGTTCAGGGCAGGTGATAACACACATGTGTTACTTTGAGTTCTTTGTTTTAAAAAAGGAATTCTATTTCCAGGTGGTAGTGAGCATTGCTTTTCATCATTGAAGAAAATGAAACTTCTTTGACCCATTTTTCTACTCAGG